CCCTCTCATTCTCTTTTACCTTTTCTACTCTCTTCCTAATCTCTCTTAATGTCTCTTTCTATCCGTATATATATATATATATATATATATATATATATATATATATATGTGTGTGTGTGTGTGTGTGTGTGTGTGTGTGTGTCACTCTCTCTCTCACACACACGCACTCTTATCCTTATGGTTATTTTCTTTCACTTTCTTTCCCACTTTTTTCTTTTGTTGTCTCCCGTTATCTATCTATCTATCTATCTATTTATCTATCTATCTATCTATCTATCTATCTATCTATCTATCTATCTATCTATTTTTCAGTATCTATCTATCTATCTATCTATCTCTTCTATTCTCTCTTCCCATTTTCCCTTCTTTCTCCTCTCTCCATTCCCTCTCACTCTTTCGCATCTCAGTCACTGGCCTTCCTGCTCTCTCTCTCTCTCTCTCTCTCTCTCTCTCTCTCAGCTCGACTTCTTTCCCTGCCAGCACCCTTATTTGTTGATCATCCGTTTTTGCTCGTAATGCCTTATTCATGTACACCATATAATCTACAACAGCTGTGAATATTTCCATCTATTACTGTCACCAAACCTGAGCGAACCCCATACCACGACAAGCACACGATTTACATGTCAAATTTTCCTTTTCCACGCATACATGCGTGCACGAATTAAATAATCAAACAGATACATTTTACTATCTCGTTGCGTACGTGAAATAGCTTCTTTCTAAACTAGAGGATTTCGAGAAACATTTTCTTTTGATATTTACAAATGAGCAAATAAAAAGAAGAGGACATTTATTTTAAAAACAGCGTGCATTCTAATTTATCCAATCATACGCGTCCAGTAGGAATTGTAAGGTAATAGTCAACGTATATCAAGATATACAAGGGGAACAACACGCACGTCGTAAACATGTGAAAAGACTTTATATACTCGCGTATCATGTGACTTTTGAAGACCTAATTTTGAAGCTAATTTTAAGAGGGTCGTATCATACATAAGATTTAAAATTAGCGTACGTGATGCTGGCCCTGGCTACGCCGTTGACCAAATTATATATCCATTTACTCTAGTCAAATTAGTTTCAAAATTAGGTTTGGTTTGGTTTGTTTACGGCATATCAATCTCAATGGGCTATTTAATGCCGAAAAAAATTTATTGCTGGTAATATGTTTTTCTTCAAAAATCTATTTCTGGAAATATTTTTCCTTGAAGAAATCTATAACTGGTCATATTTTTTTTCAAAGAATGTATAACTGTTTGTATTGCTGGTATTTTTTAATGTATTGCTGGTAATGCATTTTTATTACGAAGTATTTCTGGTATTAAAACCTATTTTTACACAAGTTGGGTGTTAACTATTTGACCATAGCTGGGATCCTAACAGATGCTACGACCCCGGGTCAGAGTTGACCTGGGAACACCAGCAATTAAGTGGTAGTTCCGCGCTCCTCAAAACCTCCTGATGAGAGGCCTTGCTCTTGGACGTAGTTTATGGTCTTACCCATAATCTGGAGGTTAGCATCCTTTTGGGAAGTCTGCTCGTCGAAGTAACGGTTTTTAAGTAGAAGCCATTAAGAAGTGAACTTTCTTCTTACCAAGAGAATGCGAAGGGAAACGAAGATGATTTTCTCCCAGTCTACGTGGCAATGGTGGGTCTTCGATGAAAAGGTCTGAACTGGTGAAACTAAGGAATGTAGCTCGTCAGAATATTTTCCAAGGATCTAGTAATAGATTAGAGAGAGGCTTGCGTCTGTAGGGAAAAGTTATTATAGGATGGAAAACAGTGAATCACTCGTGAAAAAAGACAGATCACTCTATAATTTCTATAAAACTTTGCACTAAAACCTCGTAGGTTAGAAACATTGGCTCGGCTCTCACTTCCAAGTGGTGATGTGCCGGATGCCAACCTTAAATATCGACATTTGGTTTCCTAACTGTTAGACAGAATTTAGTATAATTAATTGGAATGTAACGCACTATCAACAGAAAGTGAATTACTGTATTTATCTAAAAATGAATGGGCTCTATTGGTCTATTTGTATGCAAATTGTTGGTCAAGCTTGAGGCGCTGATTGGTGACACTCAACCAATCAGTAAAAACATATCGCATGCCATATGACATTTCCTTTTATTTGTCTAAACTTTCTTCTTTTCCAAGGAAGATCTTTTGAATATGTCATGACTGTCAATCTACATTTGAAAATCACTTTTTGAAATCTTCGCTTTGACGTCATCCTGAATAAATCACATTTTGTCCGAGAAAAAAAAAACAATAACTTAGAACGTTGTCATTTAAGAATCATTGCGTGGAGTACATATTCATGGCGGTTCAGAATAATTTTAAAAGAACTATTGGGTTGGTGCATATTTATCAGGCGTTTTTTAAACAATATTTATTATGAAAAAAGAAACATAAAAATTCAACAATAACATTTTCAAATGATTATTCCAGAGCGTATGATTATCGACACGTATTTATATAACCTGAAAGTAAAATAATATTTTTATTAAAAAAATTAAACAAAACAGCAATTTTTATTAACAAATAACTCGCCTACAAAAACGCTTGATAATTAAGCACCAAATCCAATAATTATGTGCGTATTAATGACGAGATCGAAACAAAAAAGTTTGACGGATTTTACTGATGATGGGTTGAACTGTAACAAATGGTGGTTTCATTTTACATCCTTATGTCACAGATACTGACAAACCCAGCCTTTAAATTTAGATTTTTGGTACCCGAGGTTTCAAAATTTTACACCTACCTCATCTCAGTATCTGTCTAATTGTTGAGATGAAGTATTACGTACACTATTTACATTATTCGGAATATTGTCTTCATCTTTGTCGCCATATTTATTACAACGTTTTGGCCGTTGTACGCTGCGGCCTTCTTCAGGTGGTTAGAATGTCGAACTGAACCCTTTATTTCACTCACTGGGGTAGACTGTTCTAGTTCCACGTGCCATGTTTAATGGATGTCAGTTATTAGTTATCTCCTGTTAGTAAGAATTGTATAGCTAAATTATTATTATGTTAAAAAAAAAAGAAATTCTTACAACATAAAAATATTTTCAGGCTTTAAATAACCAGGAAAAGGTTGATAAACCACAGAAAGCAAATCAATGAATCACTCAATAAAGTGTGGAAGTTAATTTATTTTGCATACTGTGGGCAGTCACAATCTTACCAACATAAGATACACAGATGACACAGTGCTGATAGCAGACACGAAAAAGAAATTACAAAACCTCCTACAGAATGTAGTGAAGGAGATCCATAAGAAGGGATTAACGTTAAACTACAAGAAGACAGAATGCATGGTCATCAGTAAAAAGATGAGCCCAAAATGCGATTTACAGGTCGAGAACACTAAAATCAAGCACGTGTAGAAATTTAAACATATGTGAAGTGTTCTGACAGAGGATGGTAAGCGCGTCACTGAGATCCATAGACGTATTGGGATGCCCGAAAACGCATTCCAAAAGCTAGGCAGAGTATTACGAGACAAAAGGATTTCGTTGGTAACAAACAAAAGAGTACTGCACTCCTACGAGTTATCTGTCCTTCTTTACGGCAGCGATTGTTGGATGGTCTCCTCAAAGATGAAGAAGACATTAGAGGCAACAGAGGTATGGTTCTACAGAAGGATGCTAAGGATAACATGGATCGAGCGTGTGAGCAACGATGAGGTTTTGGGGAGGATGTAAACAAGGAGGAAGCTTACACTTAACACCAGGAAGAGGAAGCTGAAATTTCTGGGACACGTATTGAAAAAGAAGGGCTTGGAGAATATGATACTTACAGGGCGAAAGAGAGAAAAGGGGAAGTAATGCGTGACATACTTAACGGTCTTACGCAAGTGGATAGCCTAAGAGGAAGTAGAAAAGGCACAAAACTTACTGGGAGCTAAAAGGGATAAGGAAAAAGTGGAGAGCCATCGCCTACGTCCTTAAGGGATACGGCAGATAAAAAAAATCTGGATTAATAATTTTGCGCCAACTTATTTTTGATAGGTCGACATTTCGCTGAAATATAATAGCGACTCCGCGGGTTGGAAGCTTAGTAGTCCTACAAACAGTATCTGCTTCAAATCAACGTAATTCCTACTTGACATCGGTTAGACCGAAATAAATAATATCCATTTGTTTTAATTTACTGTGTTTTATAGTTTAGCTTTACGTTTATACTCTAAAATATGAACTTAAATAGATTTAATAGATTTTGCTGAAAATATGCATATGAATGTTACAGAGAGAAAAAAATGAAATAACTATTGTGATTTCGGGGTCCAGAAATTCCAGTCCGGTAAGGCCAAAAATAAATAGTTCTAACCGCACGACTCGGTCGAACAAATTCCCAGTTCAACTTTTAAAAATAATCTTTAAAAGGCTCAAATGATTTTAATTCTCTTTTAGAATGAATAACTTTTTGTTTCAACGTTATAGCTTTAAATCTCAACTTTAATTTTATCACAAACAAGGCAATAAAGCCACTAGGACGCAAGGGGTTAGTGAGTGTTAGAGAATATGAGAAAAATTACTAAGAGAGGACAATAAAAGAACAAGAATTAAGAAGACAGAAGATAACGATTGACACTGCATTTAAATTTTGAAGTTGATTGGGAAGCAAGAATGCAGAAGAGAGTTCTACAAGCGAGGATTTTGGTAGAAGAAACTCTTAGCATAGAACTTACGGTTATATCTAGCAATTTCAAGCATAATATGATGAGACCTTCCCGCTAATTTAATACAGCGCTAACATTTGTCTATATTTTTGAGATGAGGTATTATGTACATTATTTACATTATTCGGACTATTGTCCTCATCTTTGTCACCTTATTTATTACAATGTTTCGGCTGTTGTATGCTCCGGGTTCTTCAAGTTTGATGTCGAACTGAACCTTTATTTCGCTCACTGAATTGACTGTTCTAGTTCATGTGCCATGTTTAATGGATGTCAGTTATCAGTTATCCTGTTTTTCCTTCTCCAAGTTCTCCTCCTTAACCGGGTATTGAACTCACACTCTTTGGGTCCTCAAGGACACATGGCACAGTGGTTAGATCCATTGACAGGACCCAAAGAGTGTGTGTTCAATACCCGGTTAAGGGAGTGGAGAACTTGGAGAAGGGAATTAACAGGAGATAACTGATAACTGACATCCATTAAACATGGCACGTGGAACTAGAACAGTCTACCCCAGTGAGCGAAATAAAGGTTCAGTTCGACATTCCAACCACCTGAAGAAGGCCGACATTATAAATTCACATTCTGCATTGCCATGCGTTTTGGCACGTCAGAGTATGCTTGTGACCGTACGTACATGTTTTTAACAGAGTTTTATGTGGTTTGCACATTTGCGTGTAAATTTACTCACTGCATTTGAAATACTCAGCGAGATTAGCAAGGGTTACATGGTTTAGTAACACGAAACTGGAGTTCCCAGTGAGGATCGATGTCACGACGATAATAACTGGTGATGCGCTCAGGGTAACCACTTATACCGCCATCGACTGTTACCTACAGCTTTTCACCCTAGCAGCTTAAAGAAAACAAAGCCATTAAATTAACATGTTTTAAAACTGCGTCTTCGTTGCTTTTCGTGACTGACCCTATCTCCGGACATGGCGTACGCATACTCCGATGAGTTTTCATATTCAAGCAGCTCGTTGTGATGTCAGAAGGACAGGTTGTACATCTTTCCTGCTGTGAGTTCAAGACTCAAGAAGATTTAAATAAGACAAAAAAGCTCTTTCTTTCCGCGTGACGAGGTCTCGCATGGCGATGACCATTTAGCGATATACCTGTTCAATATTTCTGCCTTTTTCACATTTATTCCGATTATCTTTTCTTTCGGTGTTTTTCATTCCTTCACCTTGTCCCTAGGGCTTTTAACGCCTGGAAAACATAATAAAACACAAAAATAAGATAACAAAAGTAAAGAATCGTTAAAATGTAACGAGATAAAAACAACGAAATATACTATCTTCATATATATATATATATATATATATATATATATATATGAAAAATTTCGGATAGAGCGTATCTGTAAATCTGTAAAAGGTCATTATGAATAAAGACAAAAGGAAAACTTAGCTGGATTTTATTTTGTGATAAATATATAAATCCAAGAGCAAAAATGTTATGAGTTCTTCAAAAGTACTCCTATACCAACAATTTCAAAAGTACTCCTATACCAACAATTTCAAAAGTACTCCTATACCAACAATTTCAAAAGTACTCCTATACCAAAAATTAAAATAACGCAATAAAATTAGACTTGATAAAGTGCCTCAGAGGACGAAACGCGTCGGTTAAGAATAGCTTTTCCCTCTTGTCTTTTTATTCATTTTCTTCCCTCACAGATACACTTTATCTGAATATAATTTATATATATATATATATATATATATATATATATGAGATATGCAGATATATTAATAATTATAAATGCATATATATATATATATATATATAGAGAGAGAGAGAGAGAGAGAGAAAGGGAGAGGAGTGGAAGGAAGAGACAGAGACAGAACTAACTGTACATATGTGCGAAATGAATATTTATAAACACAATACCTAACATTGCCCGTGCATCGTTCCTATTTTTCTTGTTAGATAATATATATATTACATTGGTCACACATTCAGCACACTCTCTCGTAGGTTAACATGTCATTTGTCAAACTTTAGTGCAATTCGCTCCCATATAGATCTACATATGACAAATAGGTAAAATAATATTGTAATTTTAGTAGATAACATCTAAAATTTATATAGGATTACAATGAAAAGAAAAACTCAAAATTCGGTGGGGGGGGGGCTTTTGTAATACAAGAGAAACAACCAAAATTAAATATGTTATCATTCTCAATAGGGCATCGTATATTGAAGTGTGTATAAAAAAAAGTGACCTGAAAAAACCGAGACCAACAAACATTGGGCGAAACGCGTCGTTTATATCTTTTCCATTTTGTCTCATCATCCCCATTATTGTATGTATATATATATATATATATATATATATATATATATATGTGTGTGTGTGTGTGTGTGTGTGTGTGTGCGTGTGTGTGTGTGTGTTTGTGTTTGTCTGTGTGTGCATTGTGTGTGTGCGTTTGTTTGTGCGTCCGTGTGTGTGTGTGTGTGCGAATCCAGTTTGCATAGTGATTGCCATATATATATATATATATATATATATATATATATATATATATATATATATATAAACAACTGACTACTCCTCTCGGTGGTTCGTTATATATGAGGGAGTGACTGCAATAGAGAAAGAATGAGACTGGCACTTCCCAATTTTTCTGTTTAGAACTCAGGCTTTCGTTTATATATATATATATATATATATATATATATATATATATAATTTCTTACTACTGATATATTATGAAACATGCTCATTTTATTTAATCAGGCATGCCCATTTTGGGGCTTCATCTAGAGAATAACCTTAATGTCTACCAGCTTAAATATGGGAGGCCCTACAAACAACAGTCTGTTTCTCAGTGGAAATCGAACCTTTATTCACTTTCTATGCTCTTTCTTAGAGCTCAATATTTTGACAATATTTAGTCTCTGTCGTGCCCTTATAGTTGAAAATTATGCAAGAAGACCAACCCGAACCGATTTACGAGCTGAGAATCCCATTACTATTTTTTGACAGAGATTTGTCAGTTGAATGGCTTACAGAAATGCTTCTTTTTGTATTGCTTGTCCGAAAATGAAATGAAATGAAGAACAAAATAGTCTTTGATCAGTTTTTATGTTTGCATTCATGTGTGCGTTTTAAAACAGGTTTGATTTTTCTTGTTGTGTTGACCAGCACTGTTTTCCATTTGATTGACCTGCACTAGTTTTTCTATACCCAGCCGTCCAAAATGAACGCCAGCCACGAAATACGGCCCAAGTCCGCCAGGACCAGATCGAGTCGGAGCTTGACCACGCCTTAACTGCCAACAGTGCGACCGTGTCCGCTACGCATCCGGCCTTCAGTCCGGGGGCCAACCACCGCTTCATGGCTAGCCTCATGTCGGCTGAAACGTGTGCCAAGCTGGAACCAGAAGATGGAGGTCAGTCTAAACAAATCAACCTCACACACACACAGACACAAACACACACACAGACACATACTCATAAGCATTAAAATGTGCACACACGCATACATACGAAAACGCACAGTAAAACACGCACACTTGCAAAAGGATACATATGCACACACATAGTCACATGTATACGCTCAGTCACATACATTGACGAGTACCTGTGCATGTAAACATACAGAAATACACATGTAATCAAAGTCATGCGAGAAAACCCAGGTACTAATGCTAATATTCACAATTCCGGCAAGTCAAAATATGAACACACGTATACTAAGACCTATTGACTAGAAGCTGGAAAACCTCATGTATAAACATGCAAACAAATGAAACACATACATTCATGCAAACACACTTGACGACGCATATATACTCAACTCCTCTGCTAGTTACATATATGCATACACAATCACTAGTAGATGTGTACACACAAAAAATACGCACACAAACACATATTTAAAATACACATTGGTATTTAAAAAAGAGAATGCTTGTTGAATGAGATAGAACCATGTTTCCCTAATGTTGTCTATGGTTCATTTTTTAAGATTTAACAAAAAAGGATTTGGCGCTACATAATCTTTAAAATTATTCATTTATACGTATTCGGCATAGGTTCACCCACAAGCTAAGCTTCAGGATAAACAAGCTAAACTTTAAATAGACTTGGCGGTAACTTTAGTGCGTGAATACTACTACTACTGCTACTGCTACTGCTACTGCTGCTACCACAACTGCCACGTTCTATAACAGACTCCTAAGAGGAGGCTTCCCCGATCACTACAGTCTTAACCCGTTCATGTCTATGGTTATTCGTTATCTTCCCCACATATCCGCATAAACTGTGCCTCTTACTCTGTAGCCCTCTACCTCGAGTGGTTCTTGGGCTTTGTACAGATTGAACATCGTTTTAAAGGAAATAAAATTAAATGTATCCCACCTATTTTTCGGCAAGTGAAGTCAAGTGATAACAGAGTTACAGATTTCTTTTTATTGCTCCTACATTGTTGGCGATATTAATTTTCTATAATAATAATATTAATAGTTGTAATAAGTTATGAATTGTTTTTAACACGATGTATAAGCACCTACTGCACCTCGAGAGACCATGGATTTGCGTCGCCAAAATTATGCCTTGGCTGCTGAGGCCAGTGTAGCATCTGTTATGGCTGTACAAGACCACACAGGAGTGACGGTCTCCATTGAAAAGAATGCATATGAAGATGCACCCCCGCCTCAATGACACTGTGTTGATTACTTGCCTTAGGCCACACTTAACACCAGCGTCTCAACACTTTTGCTAGAATTTACAAGATCTAACAAATACGCTTCATTTAAATTAAACGATACTTCGCCTTCGTAGATTGTTCCATATTCCTTGGTCTTGAAATTCGAAAAGAGTTGTAGGGTTTGATGGTTAGTACACCGTTATACATTATTCCATAGTACAATTGGTACTACGGCTTGAAATAATCTTTTTTTTTTTTCAATATTTTCCCCATATTACTATAGATTAAGCACAGAACATCAAGAATATGAAATAATTTTCAATTAAATTTTATAAAAGTTAATAGGGGGTCTAGTTTCATATGAAAATTCATTGTAAATTGATCCCCCGCCGTAAACTAAAACAAAATTACACAACCAAAAGACAGAGGGGAGTCATGTATCGGCAGTTAGAATGTAGTCGAGATGCCAGGTCAATACAGCTGTATTTTGAAAACGTTAACAGTGTCCGGAGAGGCATCCTCTCGAAATCCTGTTCCACAAAGAATCCGCTCTTGGAAAGAAAATGTTCGAATCGAACTTCCTTCTTATCAATGGAATATGAATGGAATAATTTGCACATGTCTACATGACAAAGCGGGTCTTAGCTGTAAAGGTCTGAACTGGTTGGACTAAGGCAGTGGTTTGGTGAGGTGCGCCTCATAGCTGCGACGGAAGAGCATAGCAAAGACTTAGAAACAGTTTAAAAATATTCATATGCCAAAAACTAAATATGATTTCTAAATTTAAAATAATATTATGGATTAATTGTAATGGCATGAAGGACTCCCAATATAAACGGTTATAAATAATTATTGATCGATTTTATCATTGCATTATTTCTGCATTGTATTAACTAATATAGTAACTAGGGTCTGCAAATTGGAGGAGAGAGTTATCAATGTTAATGGTCTGACTTTATCTCCATTTAACACTTTCTCTGTTTTTTTTTTATTTTTAAATGTACTTTTTATCACATAAAATTTGGTTAGGTTTGGTCTGCTTTGTTTTACGGCATATCAACCTCAATAGTTTTTTTTAATGTCGACAAGATTTTTGTGGCTGGTAATATTATTTTTCAAAACTGTATTGCTGGTAATATCTTTTCTTTCAAAAATCTATTTCTAGTAATATTTTTTCCTTCAAATCTATTTCTGGTAATATGTTTCTCTTCAAAAATCTATTGCTGGTAATATGTTTTTAAAAAAAATGTACAGCTGATAATATTTTAAAAAATGTATAGCTGGTAACATTTTTTCAAAAATGTATAGCTGGTAATATTTTTTGCAAAACATGTATAGCTCGTAATATTTTTTTCAAAATAAATGTATAGCTGGTAATATTTTTAAAAAATGTATTGTTGTTAATAATCTCTTTCTTCAAAAATCCATTGCTGATAATAATTCTTTACAAAGTATGTCTGGTATTAAAAACTGTTTTTACATTTTCATAGTGTTTTAACCCCAGTTTGGTCCCACGCTCCTTAGAACCTTCTAAACAGAGACTTTGTTGTCGGATGTAGTTTATCGTCATACCCAGGACGCTATAAAATTTGGAGAGGCGCGAGCAAATTTTCATTCCGAAAATGCGACCCAAAGGAAAAAATGGTTGGGAATCACTGGGTTACATAAATACAATACATTCTTGCATATTTACGCGCAAATATTACTGTCTGGACTACTGAATTTTCCATCGCCGCTAACGAGCTCATTTCAACTGAAAGTAGCAATGGCTGATTGGTCAATTAATTAGATGAATATTCCTTTTTAAAGAAACATCTGATATTCCTGTTATCATATTTGACTCACAGATTATAATATCTATTTCATAATATTTGCCAAACCTTATTTGATCGAGTGAGCCTTTGCGCAACACGACATAAATAAATCTGTATAAATCTATATAATAGTATGATTTATACACACACGCACACACACACACACACACACACACATATATATATATATATATATATATATATATATATATATATATATATATAAAGTGAATATTGAAATCAACACTTAGAGGCGACTGGCTGTTTCATGCTAGACGCATCGTCGTTGCCTGACGATTGCATCTAGCATGAAACAGACTGTCGCCTTAAATGTTGACTTCAATGTTCACTTTTATATTTACACACGTTCTATCTCTGATATTGAGCACTTTATCCCATAAATGTAGCACACCGTAAGACAATATTTATATATATATATATATATATATATATATATATATATACGCTCGCGACATTACGTCAGTGACAAAGGGGTTGTACATTGTTTCCTTTTCTCGGAATCAGTTTTTTCAACTCTTCTGTCAACGATTCGTGTATTTTCGCATTTTCTTGGAATCATTTTTTTCCCCTTGTTTAAACTATTCTCTTATATCAGCGTTCTCTTTCATATAATTTTCTATCTCTACGTCATTATGCTTTTTATTTTGCATTTTCTCTCCGAGTTTAACAATTCTGTTTTGATTGTTTCGATTTCATTTTTTGCTGCCGTTTATTTTCCGTATATTTATTCATAAATTCTTGTTTCTTTTGACGATTCATTAATTTGCTGAAGAATTGAACACTGCATGTTTCAGTGCACATGCGTCACTTGGGCACATGTTTACGCATGCGCCATTTCTCTATTCTTTTAAATGGACAATCAAAATTCTCAGACGTTTTTAATGCTTTCAATTTGTAACTATACAAGATTAAAAAGAATTATTTTTTTGAATATCCCGTATAGATGCAGCGGCATTCGGTTACTTTAGAGACATGAATAGACTAAATTTTAGAATATAGTCAATTACTGGCTATCTTGGAGATTCGTACTCACAAAAAACAGTGTCAAAAGGACGTTTCGTCTCTTGACACCATTCTTATGTTAACTACCTTTACTCCTCAACAATGTTTAATGTTTTATAAAGCGATGATTACAATTGTTTATTTAGAAGAATGATTTTAAAAACTAATAGAATTCTATTAAAACTAATACAATGCATTATTCACCAATTTATAAAGAAATAAATATGAAAACAATTTTTTATTCATAAATTTATAAACGTTTACTAAATTATAAAAAAATATGTGAATAAACTAAAATAAGCTCATTATTTAATATTTTATAAAGTTTGAATCGGGTGGCAATTAAGAGATTCTTTGCCAAAAATTCAATAAAAACATAAATGAAGAGTGTAAATAAACAGTTTAATAGTGTTTATTTATTGTTGCTCTTAGTTCTCAAGAACAAAAAAAATTGCATAAATGAACTTTTATCATATGTTTCAATTTTATTAAAATTCTAATCATTTTTAAAACAAAAGACATTTCCTAGGAATAAAGGTAGTTAAAAAAATAGCGGTGTCAAGGGAAAAACTGTCATTTTGACAGTTCGTTTTCTTTAATTATTTTTTTTTCGGACACGAAGATTAAATAATATTGTATCGGGCTATTATTTTTAGAGGAAATTGTATCTCAGCTACGACTTCCTGAGGATGACCTTCGAGGTCAGATACAAGCCATAATATGGGAAGTCGATTTTGATTGGTTGAGCTAGCGTGAGAGAGGAGAAAGGAGAACGGTTTCAGGGAGTCGAGTCTTAACCGTCAAACAATGTAGACATGTTTTCTTTCGTGTCTGAAACGGCTCCCCAGTGAGGGGGAATGACCTTCCACTGGATAGATAGAACATGTCGAAGTGAACGTTAATAAAATAGTTAAGTTAATATTCCTTGTGTTGAAGTTCTTTTATCTCTGGACACAAAACATCCAGTGATCACCGACCGAGAGTGAAGATGCAACATTATTATCGAATTGACGCCGTTTCCCAAGATCTCCCAGCCTGTAGGGGCTATACAACACTTGGACGAAAATAATTTTACTATAATATATTATCCATCTAAATTTATGATATTTTATCATGAAGATTATTGTCACAAAGTTTAAGGACGTAACTCAAAAATACCTTTTGCACTTTATCTATTAAATAAAACAGGTTATTTATATTAATTTACTAGAATTGGAGTCATTACAAAAAGGAAAAAGTAATTTGACTCCAGAAAATGCGAATTATGTTTTATCAGTTAGATAAGAATAACAGATCCTACAGTACTGGTCAGAATTCTGACAAACCAAACCTACTTTGGTTGGTTTGCACCCGGTGAGCCTGTTATGTGATACTTGTCTTCCTATATGGCTCTGAATGCTGTACATTCAAAGATGAAGAAGAGACTTAAAACAACTGAAATGTGATTCTACAAAAGGATGCTGAGGATACCAGGAAACGAATATATGAGCAATGACAAAGTTCTGGAGAAAAATGGAAACCAAAAGGAAAATAATACTTAACATCAGGACAGCTGAAATTTCTAGGACACATCACGAAGAAAGAAAGCTTGGAAAATCTGATACTCACAGGACAGAATTGAAGGCAAGAGGGATAGAGGAAAAGAACGCATAACATACTTGACTAAATGAAAAGCGGAACAAATAAATCTGAAAGGAATTGTCTGTCGCTGATAGAGTCCGTTGATGCAGCATTGGGGTCCTGACTGAAGAATTGCCGTTAAACCACGAGACTCCAGAGACAACACGCAACATCTGCAACTTTATAAGTTAAAGCTGCCTACCAGTAGGGCAATTGCTTTTGAAGCTTGATGTCTACATTCTCCTTCCTCTCCTTCTCGTTCTTCCATCTCTCTCTCTCTCTCTCTCTCTCTCTCTCTCTCTTTCTTTCTTAATGAGTCTTTACTGTTTTCTATCGGTTTCTCACTACAATACGTTCTTTACGATTATTTATGACACTTGTTCCACCATTTTCTCAAGTAGGTTAATTGTTGCTTTCCTCAACTTTCCTTGGCTTTATGCGTCTTCTGAGTGTTAAACTTCCCAAGCCTTCTTTCCTGAGTATGTGTTCAAAATATTTTATCCATCTTTTTCTGATTGCTAGCACCGTCTTCATTCGTCACATGACCTGTATATATTATCCCCATCTTCATTGCCATATTCACAACGTTTCGATCTCTATATCTCTTAGATGAGGTATTATGGTTACTTGCATTATTTATATTATTCGGACTCTTATCCTCATCTTCATTGCCATATTCACAACGTTTCAGCTGTTGAGAACTCCGGCCTTCTGGATCAAATGTCTTCAAGGACACATGATTCAGTGGATAAAGACCTTGGCTAGATCCAGTAACTAGATCCAAAGAGTTATGAGTTCAGTACCAGACCACAGCAGTGGTGGACCAAAACTTGGAGAGTTGAGTTGAAAGGAAATAACTGAGACATCCGTAAGAGGCATGGCATGTGGAGCTAGAACAATCTATTCCGGTGGACGAAATAATGGCGTCGGCTCGAAAGACAAATCATCTGAAGAAGGCTGGAGCGTACAATGACCGAAACGTTATGAATATGGCAATCACGATGAGGATAACAGTCTGTATTTAATGTAAATAATGCAAGTAATCATAATACCTCATCTCAGAGATATAGGCAGACATCTTTTTCTGATTGTTATCTTTGTAGATAAACCCAGATGTCTGTGCAAAAACGTATAGCCACTAAAACAATATCTGTAGTAATAATAATATGCACACACACACACACACACACACATATATATATATATATATATATATAGCGTATTTGGGCACTAATCCCTATTTTATACATGTTTCATTAAAGACGACTGATGAGACACTGCGATTAACTACGAACACGTCCAAAATGCACAGACCGTGTTTGGAAAATAATTGTAATAATTTAAAAAAATAACATTCCTATCACTCCATACATACATATAGAGATGTCTAGACATTCAGTTAAAAAATTTAAATACAAAAAACATCCTTGAAAATGGATGATAAAATAGACGCTTGGATAAATAGAACATTTGGAAAATACTTACACATTTTATGTTTAGAAGAGAAATCATTTATATTTACGTAAGACAAATTGAATAAAAACTTGATATCGCAGTCACTTGTCAGTCTTACTTAACTCTCTATATTCCAAGAAAACTAACTTCCATGAAATACCATCTGAATCCAATGGACTCTTTTATTTATCTTTTTTTTTTTAAGTTTTCATACTTTTGGCATTTTTTTATGATATTAGGTATGTATAATGATAGATGGATGAAGAAATAATTTTAATCCAAATTTATTCACTGAAACAAAAAATTGCAACACATCTTTGCATTTAGTTTCAAATTATAAACTTAATTCAAATTGCATTTCTTTAAAAAAAAATTATACTTTATCGCTACATTTTGTACAGAATTCTTTCAAATGGTTCTGACAGTCATGTTTTTGCTAAATATGACTGACAGTTTGAATTTTTTATCCATTTTAGGACCACACGAGGTACATCTTTTTTTTTCTTTCCCTCATTAAATGGTTCCTGGGCAGTATATTGTTCACTAGAGTTTATAGATGTATCAATAACTACAAGACCCGAATTCCTTCAGTATTTGTCCATTTTTGTATTATTTTCAGAAGATTTAGTTTCATGAAGAATATAAATGATGATATAGCTGAATCACAAGATCTTGTTGCAAAACGTGAAGATCCAGGCTTTTGACGGATGGAATTCTTCCTTGTTCCTTTTCAATTGGTTTAGAAGACCAAATTTCAGACTGATTCTTCGGATAATATTTTTCATTCATCATTGAAGAGTTTGAAGAATCATTTCTGTTCATCTTTATTGTCATCATTCATGTCATCTTCCGATTCTGAATAAAGTAATGATGACTTTATCAATTTCATTATCATCTTTAGAAAAAGAAACAACACCTATTTAGAATAAAATATATTTTCTATTTAATTAAGAATTGCAACCATATTTCTAATAGAGCCACTTGGTAACACAGACACACGCACACACACACACAGAAACACAGACACGCACACACACACATATATATATATATCCAGTTGGGCGTGTCACCGGAAGTCGAAGGAAGCAAACTAATTTATTGTATTTCCTTCGTTTTCTTTAGATTCTAATTCAGCTGGTACACTATGTACATACGGATTTGAAATTCAAAGTTCTCTTTTCTTAAATATCTGAACGAAGAGCCGAGTTCCAATTCCAGTTGGATTCGTTAGATTAATTTACGCGCAACTACCCTTGGAAAACTTAGGAATCTGTCTATTCGTCCCCTACCTGTGGGATAATTAGGAAGACTTGTATGACTAAATCAGTATTGTCTAAAAAACAAATTCTTACAGTCTAAAAATATTTTTTTTAAATGAATCGACTGTAGTCGGGATCATCGAGTCAATCCAAAGGATCCTTTCCTCATCTGCACAGTATGTGCTTCGCCAAGGCTACATACACTTTTGAATTCAGAGTTTCCTTCTTCTAGATCGGTTGGCATCCAAGGCTATAGAAGCCATTCTGTTACGGAGTCGACCGTAGTCGGGATCATCGAGTCAATGTGAACGATCCTGTCCCTAGCGGCATAGTATGTACTTCGCCAGAGTTACATCACTTTTGAATTTAGAGTTTCCTTCTTCTAGATAGGTTACCATTCAAGGCTATAGAACCCAAGGGAAAAGTCGGGATCATCCACTCAATTTGAACGATCCTGCAGAGTATGTGCTTCGCCAAGGCTACATACAGTTTTGAATTCAGAGTTTTCCTTCTCGTACCAATAAAAATCAACAATAAATTTTCTATAGTAAAATTAGCAACAAAACATTTTATGATCTACAAAATATATATCTAAAAAGTATCCCTTTACTGGGAAAGTACAAAATCCTGTACAAAATATCTGTAGATGAAAGAATAAACGATAAAAGTTGATATGCTGCCAAAAGAAAATCAACCACCCAAGACCGGTTGCCACCTATGTCTGGTGGGTTAAGAAGTGTTGGAATCCTACCTTTCCAAAAGATATTAGCTCGTGAGTGAATGAACTCGATTGCAATTCGATCTCGACTTTCTGATTTCTTGCAATCCATTACTCTAGCGGGACTATCGGCCTTTAAATAATCTGCAAAGGGTTGATAATCCGTAGAAGACGAATCAAGAAATGTTTGGTGTTTTCACAACAGTGATTAGCAAAAAGGGGAAAAAATTGACAGATCGGAACTCTTCATCGTTACTCTGTCGGGCGGCTGTCAGAGGTTGGCTAAAAGAGTAACAGCTTTTAGCTACACTGCCTGAACAGTTCAGACAATTATGGGAGAGTGATTTACCCAAATGCTATTCTCTTCTCCGTCAAACAATTACGGCGTGCTCGTAAAATTATTTATCAAAACATGTGGCGATGCAAAATAGCGCAGGGAAAAGTGGATCCATGCCTTTTTTGTTTTATTTTTGCTACGAACATTATACATTTATCTTTAAAGTATCAAATTGAAATTTTGTTCCAGAAAAACCTTTCAAATATGATTATAGCTTTTTTTTCTGAACATTGCTTTCAGTATAAGGATGTGTTTTATACCACGACGCATTTTTGTATTTCGAAAACTATATTTTATACATACATACATATATATATATATATATATATATATATATATATATATATATATATTTCTGGTGTTTTATGTATTATACTGGCAGCGTGTGTGTGTGTTTGTAGTTGAGCGCGCGCGCGATATCAACGTGTATGAATAAATGCGCGTGAGTCCGGGATTTTTCGTAAATACTTGCACTTCACGCTCAAATTCCTGCAAATTCTATGAAACCATTTTGATTCTTCTCCTGTTTGGTAATATAAGATTCATCGCGAATAGAAAAAAATATTAAAGAAAGAAGGAGAAACATGTTCCGTTAAAAGAAATCTATGACAGCGATCCAATCGTCTCCATCGTTGCATCACACCCAACTCTCAGAGAGATGGAAGCGGTTTGAAGCAGCGAACTGGACACCAAATAATTCCAGGTGCAACAAGCGTGAAATGTGTTGATATAGACGATCTCATGCCGACATTGAACGGAATAAATGGACGATGTTGCTGCACTTGGTGCTGTCAAAGTTAGAATGGCGCGAAAATGAGAAAGTCATATTGCGAAGAATAGACGGAGAAACTTATCATATAAGCGTATAAGAAAGGAGAATCATTTTGTCTTTTCTCCTTCTGGATATGTTTGTCTAAGTATATCACAGGGTTTGGTTGGGGGGGGTTCTCGAGAAAAGAAAAGTTTTAAATAGCAATTGATAGATCGGGACCCGTCATCGTTATCCTATCGGGAGGCTGTCAGAGGTTGACTAAAAGAGTAGCAGCTTTTAGCTACTACTGCTTGCACATTTCAAACAATTATGGGAGAGTGATTTACCCAAATGCTCAGTCACCTATTCTCTTCTCCGTCAAACAGTAGTAGCGTGCCTGTAAATAGATATGATCTGTGAAAACATGCGACGATCCATGACTTTTAATGTGTATTACGATAAGTTGAATAGAAATCAAACATTGAGCCTCTGTTTTTTTTTTACCATGAGATAATCAATATATAACAGAACAGGTACACGCATATATATATATATATATATATATATATATATATATATATATATATATATATATATGTAGGTAGAGATTATAGTTGTCTTAACGAGAAAAAAAGAATATATTCTAAAGAGAAAAGAGAGGCCAAACGTTTTTGGCTTAAAATGTGGATTTTTTTAAAAGTATAATATAAAATTTAAAATATATAATATATAATGTTGTCGGGTTTTTTTTATCTCTGTATGATACATATATATATATATATATATATATATATATATATATATATATATATATATATATATATATATATATTTATTTTATAACCTAAAAAAAACGTTT